AATTAAACCTTTTTTTTTTCCTCTGTGTGCCCATTTTCTCATTACGTCCTGTCCACAAGAGAAAGGGACATCTGGGGGGAAGGGGGGCCTTTCTTATACAATTGCCCTCATTGGGAGATTTCCCATTATCTCTTGTCCCAGTGGCAACTGTAAAATTTTGGATCAACCACCACGTTCTGCCCCAAGACAATGGTTACCAAGGTAGGGAGTTCATTTTTTAAAGAACATAGATGGCAAAAAAAACCTGAGGAGGTCCTGGGGTTCTAAACCTTCCCCACTCTATTCAGTCTTTAAAAAAAAAAAAAAGCTTTGAAAAAGGAATTAAAAAAGAAAAACAAACCAATGACATTTATTTAAAAAAAAAATATTATTTTTTACAAAGGTAGAGTATGTAATATGAAGTACCAATGTCACTCACTACAAATTCAGGATGAGACCACGTCATGTTTGCAAATAACAGATACAGCTGGACATAAAATTTGAAGCATTAATAAAATGAAGAAAAAAAAACAGGCATATTTATTAAAACTTGCTGTAGAACTAAAATGTACTTGAGCATTTACCGCTGATCTGCTGGGTCACATGTGACAGCTGGCGAATGTCACAAATATACCTGCTTTAGCCCCAGACAGTGGCTGGAGCTCTCCAGAGTGCTGAAAGGGTGATTTTATTTTATTTTTAACAGTTTCATCATTTGCCAGGTTTAAGTTTTTAAATAAAAATGTACCCTTTAAATTCACCTGCAATTAGGTATAGCAAGGGTCTACCTAAGCAATCTTTTACTTTATATTTGGTTTGTAGTAAAAGTTGGAAAAGAATTATAATAAAAAAAACCATTAAAAAAAGAAGAAAATATGTCACAAGAACATTAATGGTCTAAAGCAAATTTTACGTGAATAAGTGCAAATATTTAGCCATTATGGCACTATTTATGGTAAACCAATTACAGTATTAGACTAGTATTTTATTACCATTGTGTGTTTAATGTAGGAATTTGTAAATTAGCCACGAGAGGCAGGGTAGATTAGCTACTACAACACTCAGCCTCGTAGCAGAAATTTAGGGAGCACATTGCTTACAATGAGTCTGCCAAATAATAATCTTGCATTGAGAGAAGAAGCAGTAAAGCACAGTCACTGTCCAGCACTGCAAAGCAGTAAGCAGTGCCCGTGAACGTAATAAGTATATATGTAATAAGTATATATGACGGCATATTATGAGGCAATACTTGAATTAAATATAAAATCAAGCGTTATCCATGTACTACATTCTTTTTATAATACAATAAATATTTAGGTTAGGATAATCAATGTTGGACCTCTTTCAAAAAAAACTATAAAATATCAAAACATTACCAGTGCAGTGAACAGCATTATGAAAAACATATTTAAAATGTTTTTTTAATAAACTGAATTTTTTTTGGAAAAGGTAATTGCAGCAAATCTTGTCTCTTAGTTTTACTTGCAAACCAATCATTTGTAGTATCACTATATTAATTCAATATTAATAAAATATAAAAACTCCAAAAAGGAAAGAAAAGAGGGTTTTGATTTAATTTTTGGTTTTGGATAATATGGACAAAAGTTAAATATTCTACAAGTTAGATTTTTCTCTTACAGCACTGCTGAGATTTTTCCTCTCATCCTGGTTGATCATGTGGTGATAGGAAATCTCCCCTACACCAATGACAACTAAAACCTGACAAAAGTCTCCAACCTTCCTGTGCTTTCTAAAACTAAACATTTGGTTGAAATTAACACACACACACATGTTCTTGTATATATGTTATTTGCAATATTTTTTATGGAATGATAGCTTTGCGGGAATAGAGAGAAATGTCTGTTTAAGGAACAGTGGTCCCTCCTCTGTCTCGGAGGGAGGTGAATTTATAGGAAGAATAGGTCTATGAGCAGTGACTGGTAATGCTTTGCATTCCCTGCAATGCCTATGACAGACAGACTGACTGCCTCACATTAATTCACTTCACACCACTGCTATCGATCGGCAGGCTGTTCCCTGCTCCCTCTCCACACACTGGCTGTCTGGCTGCAGCATCCACACTAGCACATAATACACACAAAGGCCAGAGAGAGAGATAACCTTTTACTTCCCATTAAAGGCACAGGGAACATTTTCTGGACAACAATGAAAGGTTGCAGCAGCGGAGGCAGAGAACAGTATTCACAGAGCTGTGTTATACGTCTTCTTACAGCATAGTCCGGACATAACCGGGGCCCTTCCTTAGGCACAAATATAGACGAAAACGGAACCAAATGTGTTAATAAAAAAAAAAAAGACTCAGAGCCAGGGAGTTTTTTTAATCGACACCCAATAAAAGGATCTGCAGTTCTTAGCTGAAATGTGCCATTCAATAAAGCAGTCCTTTAGGAGACAATGTCGCCTTGTCTGTCCAAAGGGGCAATGTCTTTGTAACAGAGCCCCCCTTTCTGACTATCTCATCTTCACCTTGCCTGCACTCCCTCGGCACTCCTTCCTCTGTTGCAGAAAGGGAGACTTTACTTCCAGGTATAGAGAGCATTTAACCTTCTGCCCATGCGTGGGCCTAGATGCCAATCGCTAAACCCAAATGCTGTCCAATGACCGAGTGATGTCACTGCTCCCCTGGGTCACTGATTTCAATGGCGGTTGCAATAGAGGGAGTGCAGTCAAAGTATTAGCAGGACGGGGGGGGGCCCTTTGTAGAGACACCGTTACTTGGCCATTGATAGAAAAGGTGACGGGGTCTCTTTAATTTGTCAAACAAAATTGCTGGCACAAGCTCCGAAATGCAGAAACAAGTGACATTTCATCATAAATTCCACTTCACTATTCATCCCCCATTCCCCTGACTTGCTCCTACAAGCACTGGTATGTTTCCCCACATACCGCCATCATGAGCGACACATGATGTTTGCTAAGGTTTTTAGGTTTTACAGAAGCCTGGCTGTTTTTTTTAATTTTATTATTTTTTAGGCTAAGGATTTTTTAGATGAGTTTATATTGTCATTGTGATCGTGGTGCTGCAAGCTTCCTATGCAGCTTCATGCTAACCACATAGAGACTTTCAGGGCAAGACCTAGTGACTACACTGCAGAACAGGTGTTAAAAGAGAACTTCAGCCAAACCTTTTTTTTTTGGCTATAGTTCTTTCAGGTCACGAGAGAAGATTTACTAATGTCCTCCAGTGACCCAAAGTCTGCATACAGCGGGCATATAGCCATATATGACGACAGTGCAGAGCCATGCTACAACCGGGAAAGATCCCAACAATATTGTCAGGATTCATTCCGCTGTTTGACTGACAGCTGGTTCTGCCTCTCTAGAGCCAGCTGTGCCTCTCCCCTCCCACCTGTTCCTCCAATGAGCTCAGGAGCAACAGAGAGAGGGGAGGGATGAATCCCTGTGGGGAGCGGCGACTGACACTCACTATCTTCTGCAGGGAGAAGATCGTGAACTGAGCGATCAGTGGTATGTGATTGCTCAGTTGTCTATAGAGTCCTGTGACAGTTGCAGGGTTACATGCCGGCTATAACTATGGGGATGAGTGCGTTTCACGCTCCATATAGATCTCCTTTAATGATGTATTCATGTATATAGAGTTGCATTCATTTTTGCTATACATATACATATCAGCGCCTGGAGTTCAGCTTTAAAATTACTATAAATTCTCTTCTTGACAATCTGGGGTATAAGATACAATAAAGAAGAAGACAGGATTATTACAAATAGAAAAGGTAAAACATACATGAAATAGGAAAACACTTACGTGACATAATGGTGTCAACATATTGCGGTAAATATGGTGCCCAAAAATCAATGGCATCTTTGCGTCCGCTCTGCCCGATTCGCCGAAGTTCTGCAAGTAACAGAGCTTGGGCAGCTTCTCGTACCTGCAACCACAACACACAGTATATCACACAATTCAGCAGGTGTACGGCATAGACAACTCATTCAATACTGTAACACACAATACTGCGAATAGTTAAACCAACCTATACCCAAAATGAAACTTAGCAATAACAGGTAGACAGAACACATTGCAAAAACACATTTCAAGCACACAAAATCATTATTGTTCCTAAAGTACTCCTTTTAAAGGACCTGTTTACACGTAATGCAGTACTTTCCAGCACCGTTAGCAGCTGGAATGCACTGGATCACATAATTACAATCACTCTGCGGTCTGGGGCGGGAAGGGGCCTTGTGGTGCCATTTAAGTCAATGACACTGCAGCCAAGCCACCCGGCCCGCAGTGTGATTGCCCACACCAGAACCTGTGGCACAGCAATGCTCGCGGTGCGGTCTGATTGCAAAGAAAATAGTGCATGCATTATTTTTGACCTGTGCTGAGAAAGTAACATGTCTAGTGGGTACAAAACATCAAACGTGCTCCAAACACTGTTATGAAGAACAGTAAACAAGGAAAGAATGCTAGACAACCAAACGGCAAATATCTATCTATCTATATATATATATCTATGCAGAACAAAAGAGAGAGAGAGCAAGAGCGAAAGAGGGAGACTGTATATACACACACACAAATGCTCTCAGATGACGTAGGTAGTAGGCTTAGACGGCTTAGACAACAGCTTCTAAAGGCAGCTACTTTGAATTTTGGTAGGCACTTGGGTGGGAGGCCACAAGTGTCCTAATGGGGAGGAGGGCTCTCAAACTGGCCATACACAGAATTTTTTTTTTTTTCATTCAAAACTCAAAAATCTTGCCATCATCGAGTCATCTAGTTTTGTTTAAAAGCCCTTAAAAATTTAATCCAGACGTGCTCCTTCAATGAAATCCCAAACGTATTACACAGGTTTCTTTTATATGCTTATGAAATCAACAAAAGAATAAAGCAAAGCAAAGTTAAAGTGACACTAAACTCTAAATCTTAAAAATACATTCAAAAACCTTAACTGGTAACAACAATGTATCTTACTTGTGTATCACTCGGCAGTAGATCCTCCAATCATCTCTGAATTGGTGCGGACACTGTCCTCCCTTCTGGAGGGGGGCTACTTTTGTTCCCCATGGTCCCTGTGTGTGTTGTAAATTAGCCTCATAAATTCAGCCATTACAGAGAAAAACTTCTCTCTAGATAGCAAGGTAGAGGAAGTTGCCCTGGAGGGTTCAGAGGAAGCCACTAAAGGGGGGCAATGAGGAGAAGGAGAAGAGCTAGCATAAACTGTCCCCAAAGGGAAAAGAACCTTCCCTAGAACCAATGTCAGGCTGCGTGGCCCCAGTGCCTGCTAAACATACATCCTTGCATCTATAATCTGCCATTGCCTGAGAAACAAAGAGCCTCAGATATTCCCTACTATGGAGGCTGGAGGACGCCTTGTGTCCCAACACTGCAGGCAGAAGCAGCAACCCAGAGTAGAGGTACAGAAATATGAAACTTGTGTAAAATTGTAGAATCGCAAAAGCAGTGGTGGCAGCATGTGGCCCACTTAGCGCACACCAGGAGAAGGAAAATGGTGGACATATGAGCAGTACAGTACCCCAGGGGAAAGCTGTGCAGGCACCCTACGGGACGAGATTTGAAGAAGCCCCAAATTAGAGAAAGGCCTTCTACACTGGGCATCTCGTACAAGGGCTAGACCTGGCTTACCTGACCCTAATAGCAGAAGTGACCAGACTATCATTTAAAGGGTACATGCCCTATCCAATCCTCACCTCACCATACCACGCAAATGGGCTCCTCAGGGACAAGGCTTCACTGAAATGGACCACTGAAATGGACCACTGCCCTGGACCTGTGTAGCCCAAAGCACATTACAGGCCAGCCCTGCATCTTCCTTCAGGTAGGATCTGGGTACATTCCACCAAGGCTCTGCTGAGACAAAACCTGGTCAAGATAGCTGCCGAGAGGTGATACAGTAGCTGTGAGCAGCTTAGGAAAAACTTGCTAGAAAAATCTTAAGCAGAAAAGTGCAGAAAAGTATGTTCTTTTCGCAGAGCTCAGAAAAGACACCCATCACATAAGAACACTAGCAAAAAACTGAGGCAGGCCAAGAGTTGGAGGAGTTATACAGGGCTGACTTTGCTTCGATTTGTCGGTGTGCAATCACCTGAAGGTAGTTGCATAACCTATTATGTCCAGAATTAACCATCAACCATCCAGAAATTACCATCAAGAAATAGTATACTTTTACATCTTATACAAAAGGCTTACGATTCAAAGAACAAATGTACAAAAATAATGATGTCACATTAGTATATCCAGATTCTGTATATTATTTTATAAACCTGTTATAGACTGACCGGGTTCTAACTGTATCCAAAAATGTCACGCTCCTCTTCACCCTTCTATAACATCACTTTACATTTTGGCCTTTAGGCAGACACTTCAGGATTTGTAACCAAAACTGTCACTTTCCTCTGATACTCAGAAAATTACAGCTGCACCATTCTAGGGGAGAAAATGATTTTCAACAATCTGCTGCAATCGTGAAAATAACGGGAGGCAAAAAAAAAACAAAAAACAAGCAGATTGTGGATGTTCTCAATGAACCAATTAAAAATGATTTGTCTTGTACTGAAGAAGAACATCATTTTGTTTTGGCACATGGCGATGTTCCCACAAGATAGCGAGGACTTGATTTCCAATTAAGCTATCAAGTGGCCCGGATTCCATCTGTCAGATACGTGTCCCTGGCTTCAGATCAGCAGGCAGGCAGTTTTTTGTCATGTCAGCAAAGGTGTGATGTACAGGCTTATCAGCTTGTTTATCGGCGATCTCTACACCAGCTATAGCGTTAATATGGAATTTGACAGTCATTAATATACCTAAATGTACACTAGCTAAACTCAACCAGGGCCCCACCGCCGTGCAAGGGTTAAATGCTTGGTAATTCTAGAAGTAGAGAAATAAAAAGCAATACTTGCCTTATGCCTAGCTTTCTCAGCAGCCAGCACTCTTTTCTTCAACACTCTGAGGGGAATATAGCAAAACTGGAGTAGACAAAATCTGGAGCAGTTTCCCATGACAACCAATCAGCTTCTCTCTTTCATTTTCAAACCTTAACTGAAGAGAGAAGCTGATTGGTTGCCATGGGAAACTGCTCCAGATTTTTTTGTCGGCTCCAGATTTTTTGTCTGCTCCAGTTTTGATAAATTCCCCCATCTGAGTTTGGGGTGGGGGGTCCTTGCATACAAAACAGGACTAGCGGTCCAGCATTATACGTGATGAAGTCAGAGTGCAACCACCTGCTGGAGTGACAAAGAGAAGCAGCTTTTGGGAAACTGTTGCACAGTGTAGAGGTAGGATGCCAGAGCGGGGAATGAGTTAAGTATTATAGGCTATACCTCTACTCTTAACTTAACAAGCATTTAATCATTGCAATGTGTCTGCAACCCCCCTCTGCCAATCCCTCCACTGGCTTCCATCCCCCACCCCGCTCTGCCATTCCCTGCACTGGCTTCCAATAGCCCAAAGGATAAAATTCTAAATATTAACAATGGCTTACAAAGCCAACCACAACTCTGCCCCCGGCTATATCTCCAACCTTGTCTCAAAGTATCGCCCTAACCGCCCCCTCTGCTTTTCCAAAAACACCTTCTGCTTTCCGGCTCCCTCGTCAACTTCTCCCATGCTCGCCTCCAGAATTTCTCTAGAGTCTCGCCCATCCTCTGGAACTCTCTACCCCAACCTGTCAGATCATCTCCCACTCTGACTGCCTTTAGGCGATCCCTTAAGACTCATCTCTTGAGGGAAGCCTATCCCACCTCAACCTAACAGCTCAACCATCACGTTCTCAAACAATTCATCCCCACACAGCTACCCCCTCATGTATCACTTGCCCCTCCCTTTCAGATTGTAAGCCCTCAGGGGCAGGGTCCTCCTTACCCTCTTGTCTTGAATTGTATTGTGATTGTAATGTCTTCCTTATATTGTAAAACGCTGCACAAACTGTTGGCGCTATATAAATACTATGCAATAATAATAATATTGTGGATGGGATGAGCAGAGCGGGAGTGGGCGAGAGTGAGCTTCCTCTGCTGCAGCTAATGCTGGAACGTGTAGAGCATGCAGGACAGTACTTCCTATAATATACTTACTCCTTCACAGGAACCTGGATGGTCAGTTAGTGATGATGAAAGCAGCCACAATTTTGGGTGATTTTTCATTAGGCAGACCACAGGAAAATCTTAGTTACGTAAAGACAAGTATAGAATATATATATTGCTGATTTAATAAGTGTGCCAGGCTCGTTACACTACTGATTTTTAAAACAAAGGTGAAGTTGTCCTTTAAAAGTATGTGGAAAGTTACTACTTGTAAATTGATGCATCACTGATGACATCACAGGATCGCAAAAAAAACTACGAATATCAATGAGTTCTGGGTGCTACCTCCCTGCCCAGCATGTCATTTCCTCCAAGTGTGATTGTGATTGGAAGACTTTCCCTTCCCATAATTCTATCTCTGGATGCATTAAGTAAGCAGAGACACCAGGTGGGTCTTAGCAGAGGTTCGGTCAGAGAATGAGCATTGCACTAAGCATTTACAAGATGGACACAAGACCGGTCACTTTGTTCATAGAGAGAGATGGTGAGATCATTACATAAAATGCCTAACCAGAAGTACAGGGAAGTAAAGGTCACCCTTGCTTTGAATTTTGGCATTCTCCTGCTGAATCAGCTGATATTACAAGCATGGGTTAGCCTTCAAGCACCGCTTGGTTAGAGCCAAGAGGAACATTTTCCCCTAAACAGTGACTGTGTCCTATAAAATGCAGCACCAGCAGCTGCAGGAACCACAACTTCCTGAACACAGCATGGATGAAGGAATCAAGTGATTCTCGTTGAGTCTCTCGCATACTGCATGGCTAAAATTCAAGCCGTCTATGCCCAGATTCTTGGACATGGTGGCAACAAGAGAAAAAGGAGA